CGCTGGAATCCGGGTTTCGATACCCCTGGTGGACAGAGCACAGATAGCCTATTGTGTAGCTTTGTGCTTAACTTCAAAAAACAACAATTTTGTCTGGTAACCACATTATTTGTGATGAAAATCGTGAAATGCTGCGTCAAGTGATTTAAATCGACATTGTACAACTAAAAGCACTGTCGCATTACTATAAACAATTTCATTTGTAACACTTCAGCATTTTATTCTTAACAGAAATATGTTTTCAAAATATGTCACCAATATCATAGATTTAAAATCACTGTTTCCACGTTTCTCGTAAAATAATGAAAAGAAAATTGTAAGAAAATCACAGTGTCTTAACTGTACCAATGAAATTTGGTCCAAAATAATTCTGCTTTGTTTCAAAATTTGTTTGCAGTTAAGCACAAAGCTACACAATGAGCTTTATGTGCTCTGCTCACCACGTGTATCGAAACCCAGTTTCTAGCGTTGTAAGTCCGCAGACGTACCGCTGTGCCAATGGAGGGCATTGTTTGATTCGAAATTTGAGCGTTTATTTGTTTGTTTTTGTATATTCGCACAAAGCCACTCTAAGACTATCTACGTTAGCCGTTCATAATTTTGAACCTATAGGCTAGAGGCAAGGCAGTTAGTCATTAACACTTACCACCAACTTTTGCCTTACATAACACATTCACGGCCCCAAAGTGCGAAATGCGCTTTGTTTTAGACGGTTACAGGACTAGAAATGTTATACTTCCATATCCAAAGTTCGGTGACGCTAAACTACACAAAGAGCTATCTGCCCAAAGTCTTCTTAATTTTTAATTGATATATTGCAGGTGATTTTTTTTAGTTAGTAAACAACAGTCACTCTCAACTGTTAGTCTACTTCTGTCTGATCGAATAACATGATTCGACGGTCAGTCTTATACCGCACCCACAGGACCAAATTGAGACAACAGGCCGCAAAACACGAATCCTCGGATTCAAAGATCGAACACGGTAACCACTAGGTAACGTCCGGCCCCAAAAGTAAGTCATTGGCAGTAGCTAGTTAAATACAACCAATAAGAATGCGTCTTAAAACCTCTGATATATTCATCAACCTTGTTGAAATATTGTCATCACAAGACAACTCTGCCTTTAAAAAAAAAAGAACTGTGTTGTAGTTGTACTTTAATTTCAATTTTATCAATAAAACGGTTTGGATTATCAAAGTATGTAATGTGAATGTCAGAACTATTATCCTACTAAAACTATTCTTAAGACTAGTTGTCATTAGAAACTATAGATATTATTATAGGACAGAAAATATAAACAACCATATAATTTTCAACTTGACGTACAACATTTACGTCCACGCTTACAATAAACTAATAATCATGAATCATAAGCATCATTTCTCATATGAAAGCCTCCATTTTGAATGTATACATTTTAACTTTCTTTGGTCAGTAAGTTAGTTGTAGTTGCTGAGGCAACAAAAGGCAACAGATTTCAACAATAACGTTTAGTTCAGGAACAATTTATTCGACGCTGAATCTCAGCTTTTGAGCCTTAGGTTATAAAGAGGAGACCGATAATACACAGATGTTGTCTTACATAATGTTAGCAATGTAACACAAGGTCACGACACCTGGTGAATACATTTAGAGTATCTTCTAACTTTGAGCCCGGATAAGTTAAAAAAGCAAAAAACAGTAATAAATGGTCTCACCTGAAAATGAAGTAATCTTTCTTCTTGTCGAAACGAATTAATACATGGTAATTCTGTATTTAATTTCTGCTATTACATATTGTTCTTGTTTTTATACTGAAATCCTTAAGCTTTTAGAACTTAACATACTGACGCGGTAATAAAGAAAGAAGCCTTGCACTCCGCCCTAACAAATGAACGAATCTAAAATATATTTCATAAACACCTCTTGGGAATGACCCTTCTACTTGCATAAAACGTATTGCAAAATTAAATGAGCAAGAAAAGGCATTTTTACTGTTACACAAGCAGTTATTAATACTGTTTTCTATTAAAATGGCGCCAACAAGTTACAGAATATTTTCATTATCTTTAGTGAATATAGTACTTTACACAGAATTTATATTATCAGTGAATATACTTAAAAGAAACAAATTTCTTTCATGTGTACATTTTCATATTTCTGAAATAGAATCACCTAGAAAATAAACAAATGGTAAAACTATATAGATAAGAGTATAAGACTCTTCGCCTGACTTAACGATACATAATTTAACTAAGAGTTGCATAACTTTATGTTTATACTGTCAACCATTAATCTCATTTTACCCCCATTAAAAAAAGTGGCTTTTCCAAAACAACGTGGTGGTATAATATGCAGCAATTAAAACTTCTAAATCCAAACAACGAGTTTGAAATTAGATAGATGATTAATTCAAAGCTATTCCAAAGCATGTTGAGTATGTAAAAAGGATAAAAAAACACTATAAAAAACCTAATTAGGGTTAATTTATGAGCAGCTATGACTCTTGGTATCTTAGAAAAGTCGTTACATTACAAAGTGAACCTTTACAAGGTCTTCAGAAACAAATAATAAGTAAGTACGTTACGTTATTTATATATGTATACAAATTATTTTGAAAGACGCAATAATATTTAAGAATAGTTTGATTGTAGGTCGATTAATGATAAATCTATTTCTAATAGCTGAAAATATTAATATTTGTTTCAAATACAGAAGTTTAGAATGTTTTATTTAGTTTTCGTGGTAAATAATTTTGAATTTTTTTTTCCGAGCAAAACAAAATGTCGCCATTACGTTAGTTTCACCGTATATAATAATAAAATTGTTATATATAGAATAAATACAAACTTACCTATGAAGATCTATGTTAGCAAAAACGGGAGGAGTGAGAGTGTGTATCATCTTCAACAAACTAAGATGAAATAATTGTTCTAGCATATCGAATCTGTTCACTGGACTATGGCATAAAAAAAGGAAAATCAGAAATATGACGTACGAGAAAATCACTTTTATACTTCTTTCTAATACCTTATCAAGGATAGAGTGGTTACTATACAGAAATAGCATGCATACACAGTATGTGAATAAACAAATATCAAATGTGTCCTACACTATCTGAAACAACATTTACGAATCAATATATATATATATATGTATATATCAAGAAGGAAACGATAAATATAAACATTTAACAAAGAGAAAGTATATCAGCAGGGTGAAATATAGTCTTCAGAATACTGTGATAATTTTATAGACTGAATAGTCCAGTATATCACAAGGGTGAAATAGTCTTCAGAATACTGTGATAATTTTATAGACTGAATAGTCCAGTATATCACAAGGGTGAAATAGTCTTCAGAATACTGTGATAATTTTATAGACTGAATAGTCCAGTATATCACCAGGGTGAAATAGTCTTCAGAACAGTATGATAAAATTATAGATTAAATGTTCAAGTGAAACGACAAGATGAAATAGTCTTCAGAAGTTTTCTGATGTGTGTAGTAGGACAACGTCTACAGATATGCATCATCTAATCAGTTATAACTTTATAAGTCGCTGAGACATTTCTCCCTTTCATTATTGTCGATCATTACTATCGCAACTTGGAATCAGAATCACTTTTTTCTCACCTGATAAAACTATATTTTCAATTCGAGAAGTTGATTACTAACTACAACTAATTTGGAATTTTTTGAACGGTTTACATAAGAGGAAAATTACACTTTCTAGCTGTTCCTGACGGAGCCCACGGCGTCGTTAAGAGAGATGCAATCCCACACAGTCCTCATAGTGTTACCAATACGGTGTTCACCCGTGTCCTTCTTCTTGTCAGGCCCCGTCTGCTGACCTGCAACTCCACCTCATCAGTCATGTTTTGACACCCGTGTTTGTATGTTTTCTGACAAGCCAGGCCTGTGATCATTAACAAGCGCTTTGAAGTTTCCCGCCCTGGCAGACTTTGACGGGGCATGTGTCCTTTGGCTGATTTCTGTTTGAAACCTCTGGCTATAACCATTACTGTTCTTTACACACAAGAGAAGGAGACCGACGTGTCCTGTTATCCTCTGAAGTCTCTGTTTTACCACGGAATCCAGATCATGTACTGAAGTGTTTTTTGAATGTCTGGATGACTCAGTATATCAGTAGAATATTTCAATTCAAGATCGCTTTAATTCCTTCATCTGCACTTTTTTAAACTCTCTGGCCTTTATTAATTGAGATGAATTATTTAGAACATTTATTCTGTCATTTCTTATTTTAATTTCTCTACATTTTTATCAGTTCTTATGATTCTTTTTTCTTATCATACTCACTCCTCATGTCTTCTTGAGACGTTTTATATACTCAGTATTTCAGGCGTATCTTTGTAATTTTAGCTTGTTTACACTTTCTCTTGTATTTCATACTTTCAACATTCAAACAAGCATATTTCTTTTTCTATAATAATACAGTTTGTTTGTTTGAAAGCTACACAATGAGCTATATGTGCTCTGCTCACCACGAGTATCGAAACTCGGTTTCTAGCGTTGTAAGTCCTCAGACATACCACTGTGCCACTAGGGGACGTAATAATACAGATAGACAACAAGCTGAAAATGGGTCAAATAGATAGATGACTGACTGAGAAAATGAGAAAGATCTAAGTTAGATCAATTTGTGTACGAAATGAGAAAAGAAAAGGTAATCTAGATAAAAATATATTTACAGCCACAAGATATAAACATTATAGTTTTGAATGATACTTGGCTGTTGCAAACTGTTGCCTAAAAGAAATATATAAACTGCTTTTATTAAGGGATTGTTTTTTTTTATGTAAAAAACCATCACTGCACCTTATATTAACTTTTAAACTCAATATCTTACTCAGATTCGAACATGAAATTTTATTCGTTTTCACACTTATCAGGTTTGTTAGTATAGCAGCTATATGACGTTTGCTTATAAACTGCGCTTTCACTGCATTTGCTCGTTATCGATCCATTGTGTATTTTTATAGCTATAAAATATAATAGTAGTTTTTTTCTTCTTACACCAAAAAGTACAGGTACATTTCTCTAATAGCTTCAAACTCGCACGCTTATGTAAGCCAAAAACCGGTTGCGTTCGTTGCTTAGATTAATAGAGTGTGCTTGTTAATACTGTTCAAGCTTAAGACGCAAGAAGCCACGGCTAACAATAGAGTTGAAATCCCCCAGCTTTGAAAAACTGGGGAGCCGCAGTCGGGATAGCCTGCTAATGACCGTAGCAGGGAAGACCAAGCTGCTGATTTGTCAGGGCAATTGACAGCCGGTAACCCTGCTGAAGGCAGCGGCGTCTTTGTGAGCTGTCTCCCGGTCACAAGAGGGCCGTGACTCAAGACAGGCGGATCCATTTTAAGAAAGGGCATCTTCCAGCAGTTGTAAACGATTGAAGAATATATTTCTTTGTGGGTGTTTTAACTTCTGGCCTTTATGTTACCGAGATGTGATTTATTGCCGTGTAGTCTTGTCAGTGAACAATCAGTTAAAGCATGAATGTCGTAAATAGACGTTCGCCAGGCACTGTATAAAACGTAAAGCAGTTCTTGGATCAGGTTAGGCAGACTTGGCCTTTCCAGTTTTCCTTTTACTCCTTCCGTACAGCCCTTTTAAAATCTTATATAGCAACAAATTATAACAAATAAACTATACTTTTCCATATTGAAGTTGAGTACAAAATCACACACAGTTTACTCATTACAAATAAACAAGTTTTTTTAGTTATGTATAACTGTCTATTACATACTTGATTTTTGCCAGTGAGAAGTTTGTAACCGGTCTATGAATTTCATTGAAACCACGTGTTTGTCAAACTTAGATTCGTTTTCTGAAATAACCATAAATAACTTGCTGTATTAAGACGACAAACCATGACATTCAGTGAAGGAGCAAGAAAGTCTATAGCTAGTGTAATAGTAAAATGATGTTACGTATGTCTTCATAAAAGTCAAACAACTGATATTAAAATCTACTAACGTTTGACCTAGAGTTAAGTTATCATGTTAGAAACTGTTAGTTAATCTTCCATCCGAATCCATGTGAATTTATGGTTGTAATATACGGTTTCAGCGTCTGTATTCTTTTAAAACAAAACAAAAAGTTCCATACAACAGATAAATAAGCTCATCGTGATATGATGAGGTGAAAACGACAACCTATCACCACATATAAGGCGTCCAACAGATAAATAAGCTCATCGTGATATGATGAGGTGAAAACGACAACTTATCACCACATATAAGGCGTCTAACAGATGAATAAGCTCATCGTGATATGATGAAGGTGAAAACGACAACTTATCACCACATATAAGGCGTCCAAGCAAGTAAATAAGCTCATCGTTATGTGATTAGGTGAAAACGACAACTTATCACCACATATAAGGCGTCCAACAGATAAATAAGCTCATCGTGATATGATGAAGTGAAAACGACAACTTATCACCACATATAAGGCGTCCAACAGATAAATAAGCTCATCGTTATGTGATTAGGTGAAAACGATAACTTATCACCACATATAAGGCGTCCTTTACAATTCAGTTAAAGCCTGAAGGGAAACTTTGTGGACTTAGAAAATCTCCTATTCTTCTCAAGCAACTACGGCAGAGAGTACCATGATTATTCACGTGCTCATCTGAGCACACTACTGCAGGATTTCACAATTTTTCCACTGTAACTCGTAAATTTATGGTCACACTGCACTTTAACATAAAATTGTTTTAACAAAATTTATTTTCCGAGAAACGTTGTTTTAGAGTGAAGACACACACACACAAAAAAGGGTGAAATTAATATCACGTAGATATGAAAAAAAAGAGTCATTGGGAAGCCATTTTTGTCCACGGAGCAGCCATCTCTAAAAATATATCTTAAGTCAACAAATCATTGTTGTCAATAAATCGTTAAATTCGAATCTTAATTGTTTGACTCTTGATAAATTACAGTATGTACGGGTATGTTTAGCCTAAAAAAAAAAACGGTTGGAAATTTAAAATTTGCTTTTGAACTATAGCCACGTACCATAAAGAGTTTTATTGAAATTACAGGAAGAAAGTATACACATATAATGATTCCTTCTCTTTACCGCCCTGTTGTGTTTGTGCTGGTGAAACGTCTACTCAGTTGCTTCAAAACTAATAATATCCGTTTTCTCTGAGTGCTGAGCTCATAACACGACAGTTTGAAATGGATAAATTTTTGAAATTAACTTTTGATGAAAAATAATTAGATAATATTTTTAATGATATCTTTTAAATGTTGTAGCCATATCAGAGTTTATTATAGAGCGAGAGAGCTTGGCTATTAATATATTGAGCTCAGATGTATTTGTATTCCAAGAAACATGAATAAAATCTTAACTCGAAATTTTATACATTCTAAGACAAAGTACATAAACTGCATAATTAGCATTGAATTTGATTTTATAAAATAAAGATTTGAAAATATAAAAATAATCATTGAGAATTTTAAAGACTGGGATAAAATATTCTATTCACTGCAAAATGATAAGCCCCCCAGTGGCACAGTGGTATGTCTGCGGACTTACAACGCTAGAAACCGGGTTTCGATACCCGTGGTGGGCAGAGCACAGATAGCCCACCGTGCAGCTTTGTGCTTAACTTCAAACAAGCAAAATGATAAAAAAATACTTTTTATTTGTTTTAGATTTTTTGCGCAAAACAACAAAAATGCTGTCTGCGCATAACCGTCCCTAACTTTGAACTGACAGACTACAGAGAAGGCAGCTAGTCAACAGCACTCACTGTTAACTCATGGGCTACTCCGGCCCGGCATGGCCAGGTGGTTAGGGCGCTCGACTCGCAATCGGAGGGTCGCGAGTTCGAATCCCCGTCACACCAAACATGTTCGCCATTTCTGCCGTGGGAGCGTTATAATGTGACGGTCAATCCCA